TATCATCCTATTTGTCAGAGCAACTTAGCATCTGCAAAATACAATTGGGCTTGATGGGTGTTGTAGCAGGCAGGAAGAAGACACACTAGGGAGCCAGAATGTGAAGAAGGGACCTCCCCCACTAACATGTCATATGGGAGAGAGTAAAGCCACTTAACAGGGATGAGAATTTAAAGATTTAAAAAAATTATTATTCATGCAGCTTTGTCCTGGTGTGGGCTTGCATGTGGTCCATTCAGTGAAATGACAGCATGAGTGTCCCAAAAGTCTTAGTTCAGTTTTAGTCTGAGAAATCTGAGAACTGCACAAAGATTTTCAGGACACCCTGTATAGAGTAAGTATGTTCCCCTTAGCTCAGACTGGGTTTTCTTTTGACCCTCACAACTGTAAGGTGGTGGAAGTAGAGTACAATGTTGAAAAAGCAACAGGGATAAAGGGCACCTATCAAGACACAAGGCTGCCAACTGCTGTCTAGATTTCATTAGAAGTAGGTGTCAATAGAGGTGTAGACCAGGAGTTGGGAAGACCTGGTCTGAATCCAGCCTCAAATATTTACGAGCTGTGTGATCCTAGAGATGTTAATTAATCTCTCTGAACCTCAGTGTCCTCATCCATGCAATGGGGATGATACTAGCACCTACCTCAAAGGGTTGTTATGAAGACCAAATGATACAAATGTGAGCTATTCGAGTGACAGGGATGCAATATACATCCCATGATATCCTTCTTTTACCGTCCACTATGGTGAGGTGAGTGAATGAAATATTGAAGCATTACCTGATTTGCTGTTTTAGACTGGGGCTTCTCAAGAGAGATACCTTTCACTTTTTCAAAAACCCTCTAGAGTTCCTGGCACATAGGAAGTGTTTAATAGTTGCTTGTCAGCTGACTGATTGACATTCCAAACTGAAGGCTTTCTCTATCTCCCCTGATTCTAGCACTTTCCTTCTGTTGCTTATTTCCAGTTTATCCTGTATACAGTTTGTACCCAGATGTTTGCATGTTGTCTCCCAGCATTAGACTGTCAGCCCCTTGAGGGCAGGGATTGTTTTTGCCTCTCTTTGTATCCCCAGCACTTCGCACAGTGCCTGGCACATGGTAAGAGCTTAATAAATGTTTAGTTATTGTTTGGTCATCTCAGTCATGTTTGACTCTTTGTGACCCTATTTGGGATTTTCTTGGTAAAGATACTGGAGTGGTTTGCCATTTCCTTCTCCAGCTCATTTTACAGATGACGAAACAGAGGCAAACAGGATTAAATGACTTGCTCAGGGTCACACAGCTAGTAAGTGTAAATGTTTATGAATTGGCTAACCTTAAGGAAACAGATTTTGGAGAGTGTTTCCTTCTTCACATCACATAAGACTCTTCACTTTATAAAAAGATACCTGTAGGAAATTAATCAAACTCATCCTCAAATTGGATCCTGGATGCTGATTCGATTCTTGTCTAACATATCAGGTAATAGAGCTCCACTCTGCCTGGTTCTGGGTAACCATAGGCACAGTGAGTGCTTTTCTTTTGACCAAATCTACTCCATCCATTGGCTCATGACACTAGAGATTGTCCTAGAGAAATCTTGAGCTACATAGTTATCAACTGCCTATTGTCATGCCTTCTCATTGGACCTGAATCCACTTAGAGAATAGAAGATGGTGAAATGATAGCCAGGAATTCTATTTCTTTAAGAGACCTACTCCCCAACCACAAAACACTTCCTGATTTCCTACTCTCTCTTGGAAGAAGAGGGAGTCATTTTATTATCGGTTGATATGAATGCACAGATAATGTTACAGAATGGTCTAGAGTGGAGATTTTCCCCATCTTGTGGTCTATACTCATAATTAAATGAAATGCCAAATTTCAGTTAAGAAGTTAGTAAAAATAAAGAGGTTTTCTCACCTGTCAAGTGGGAATAATAATGCTTGCTCTACTTAGGAACATAGATTTGGAGTTGGAAGGGATATTAAATAGAACTAGAAGGGAATTTATATCTAATTTAGTCCAATTCACTTATTTTACAAAAGAAGAAAGTAAGGCCAAGAGAAAGGAAGTAACTTGCCCAAGGTTACATGGGTAAAGAGTAGCAAGGCTGGGATTCGAACTTGGATCACAGGCTCAAAAATCTGGAACAGAGGTAAGAGGTTGAGTCCAATGCCCAGAGAAGGAAGAATGACTTGCCCAAGGTCACACCAGCTCCATCAGAGGCAGCATTTTAACCTTGGTACGCTGACTCCCAAGCCAAGGCTCTTTCTACTGTATCACACTCCTCTAACTTGACATGTCTGTCTTTCCACCATACCACAGTTATTTCATAGAGTTGATGTGAGAATGAGACATTGGATGGCAAAACTGCAAAATCTAAAGTTCTGCATAACCTTAAAATATTTTAGACTGGGTCCCCAAAGATATGAAACATTGGGGGCTGTACTAGGTGAGATCAAAGGTTTCTTCCCAGCTCTAACCTTTCATGAATCTATGAGTTTATGTACTTATGTGTTTATGTGCTTATGTTAAAACTTAGATGTTTCAAGACAAGTAGAGTATCTTCCAATTCTTGTTTTTTCATGACTCACACATAATAGACGTGTTCCTGAATTTTCCTTAATCAAATTTTTGTGAACAAAATGATCTTTTCCACTAACTTACATTCTTATAATTTCAGAGACAGTGTTTTCTTATTTCTGACTAGCAATGACCTCTTAACACTTTTCAAGATTACTTTCTCTTCCTCTTCTAATTCATCCTCTCTACCCCCCTTCCTTCCTGATCTATTCATAATTAGATGCTCTAACCTGACCTACTATTCATGGAAATAAGGAAGGGTTAGGGAAATGATTACCCTAATTTACACATAAATATGTTTGGTACAGATATACCTGTACATTTCTCTATGGGGAAGGGGAGAGAAGAGAAAGAAAGAAAGAAAGAAAGAAAGAAAGAAAGAAAGAGAGAGAGAAAGAGAGAAAGAGAGAAAGAGAGAAAGAGAGAAAGAGAGAAAGAGAGAGAAAGAGAGAAAGAGAGAAAGAGAGAAAGAAAGAAAGAAAGAAAGAAAGAAAGAAAGAAAAAGAAAGAAAGAAAGAAAGAAAGAAAGAAAGAAAGAAAGAAAGAAAGAAAAAGGAGGAAAATGTACTGGCTGGAGATCAGTGGAAGAGGCAGTTTATTTTCGGGTGTGGCGTTACTAAATGGCCTGCTCAATGAAATTTTTCCTTCAGTTTTCACAAATGAGAGGATCTGTATTTCTTAACTAGATGTAGATTTTTATGGGGATGGGGGGAAGGAACACATTTTCATCCCATATAATATCTTAGGATCCACTGAAGCAAATAATATTGCAAACTTTCATTTTTTTTTCAATTTGGAGACTTAAAAAGAAACTTTTGACTTTACCTTATTTTAGTACACATTCATTGACTACATTTGCAAATGATAAGTGAAAAAAAAATCTTGCATGCCAGCCCAAAACACTACAACTAACAACAGATCACCAACAAATAGCTCTGATAGCACAAATATGTTCCCTTAGCTTCTCTCTCTGAGGATATGGAGAAATAAGAAGCCGTTCAATCTTTCCTAAAGCAGAATTCTCAGATCCTCAACGTTGACATGAGATGAGAAGCAGTGAAAAATTTAATAATAATAATCATAATAATTTTCCTCTCTTGGTTTCCTTTTCCCTTTTACTACAATGCTTCTTTTTGTTTCCTTCTGGCAGAAGGGTTATTAAAACACACACATGCAGACACACTCATACAGAGTCATTGCAAAGCCTCTGAAACAAATTGAGAAATTCCCTTTACTTTATCCATGAAGCTCCTGCTCAGCCAAAATTAATGAAGAACCAATTTCCCTCCAAAGCTGTGAGAATTGGCCTGTCCAACAGTTTGCCTCTTTCTTTTTCTCAATTTAGTCTAAGACCGCCACCGCTCCCCCTCCAAAAAACCAAAGGTAATATGAAGTTGTTTTTGTCAAATGAATTGATATGGTATCTGAATCGCCCTAATTTAAAAAGAGTAATTAAAAAAAAGTCAAATCCTTCCTTTGAATACAAAACCTAGTGTGAAGCAATCATCCTTATCTGAGTCTGAAAAGTTTTAGGGGTAGTGGGATAGAACATATGGGTCTGCAGTGGAAAGGGCAGTGAAAATGCCCGCTCTGCCACTTCCTAGCTGTATAACCTTGGGCAAGTCACCTCCTGCCTCTGGGTCTCAGTTTCTTCATCTGTAAAATGAGGAGGATGGAAGAGATGAATTATAAAGTTAATGATCAATGGCTTCTGGAGCATCCTTTACTTTTTGGTTTGTTTCAAAGCCACAGATAAAGGAAAAGTCTTGAACTTGAAAAGGTTCAGAAGGATTGATTAGTCAGAGAGGAGAAAGAAAGTTGTCTGAGCAAGACCCCCTTCCATCCAGGTCACAGCCCCTGTGGGCAAAGCCTAACCTCGAGGCGCGGAGACATGGCAATCCCCATGGGCTGCTGGGCTCTCGGGTCGGTGTGAACATGGGCAGAGGTTCGGGGCCAGGCTTCGTCGATTCCCCTAGATTTCCCCAGAGCTTCCGTGGCATCCAGCTCAGGCACACACAGAGCCCAGGAGGTGGCAGGATGGTGGCTTTGGCACTCTGGGTGGGCAGGGGTGAGGATGTATGGAGAGAAGGCAAGGGAGTGCTCCCCAAGATGGAAACAGAGTCCCTCAGGGTCATTCTCCTGAGAATGCTTCACTGGAAGGAAGTCCCTGCGGTGTGCTTTTCTCCAGCTCCCCTACTTATGCACCCCGCTCCAGCCATTCTCCTCTTCTGACGCCCCCGTCCCCATTCTAGCTCAGCATGGCAGCCCTTCAGGGTCCCAGACAGGTCCTCAGCATCACTAGAATTCTTTCTACTTGATACAAAGTATCAGCCCCCCCGCGGGAGGGGGTGGAGGTGGGGGTCACCGGCGGCCCGCCCGCCCAGCTTGGCACCAAGGGGAGAAGAGAAGATTACCCTGCTCATTCCCTTACTCACCGTCAGCCCTCACCGACAGGCACCAGAGGCTCAGCAGCAGCAGCAGGGCGCCCCCGAGGCACTGGACGAAGGTGGACGCCTGGGACCCCCGGCTGCCTCCAGCCGCCATGGTTCTGGCCCCCGAGAGGCTCTGGGAGGGCACGGATGGGAAGGTAGGGAGGGGGACGCTGCTTTGGGTTGGGAGAGGACGGAGAGGGCGTGTGGGAGAGTACCCCCGACACCGGGGCTGCGATTGAGGAGCGCCCTTCTTCCCAGGATGGGATCGGGGAGATTAGGAGGGAGGGATAGTAAAAAGAGGGAGAAGGACAGGGTTTGGGGGGCGGGGTGAGATAGAAGGAAGGGGAAAGATTCCTTGGCGTCCGCGGGGAAGCCAGAAGAGAGGGAGGCCGAGGTGTGGCAAAGACCCGGGTAGGGTACGGGGTCTGAGGCCGATCTGCTGGGCTGGGGAGGCGCCTTTATCCAGTCCTTGCCTTGCTGGGGGGCTGGTGTGCACCTGGAGGGCTGGTGTGAAAAGTCACATCGCCCAGTCACACTGCAGAGCTCCGGACTCAGCCCTGAGCCAGCCAAACCAGTGCAGGGGGCGAAGGAGGGAGGGGGCGGGAGGGAGGGAGGGGGGACCGAGGGAGGAAGGGAGGGAGGAGTAGGATAAGGAGGAGTAGAAGGAGGAGTGGAGGGGCACTAGGAGGCAAAGAGCTGACTGTGAAGACGAGGGGAGGACGGTCTGCAAGGAATCTGAGGCTCCAATCCCTCTCTCCATCTGCTACTAACGGGTAGAACTGCAACATTCACACCGTTGGAATACTCTCTAAGGCTTTTGATCCTGTGAGCATCTTATCCCTTGTTTCATATGAATCCTTCCTATATTATAGATTTTGAGCACGAACAGACTTTAGGGGGCATCTAGTCAAACCTGCCCCTCTTTTTTATAGTTAAGGAAACTGACTCTTAGAGCCATGAAATAATTTACTGGAGATTATTCAGGTAGTTAAGTGTCTGGGTCAGGATTTGAACCCAAGCCCTTGGAGGGATCCAGCCCTCTTTTCAGTGCACCACTTTGTCTCTCTACTATCACTGCAGACCTGAAGGTCTCCAATGCGTTGTCCATGTTTTCTCTCTCATGCTTATCACATGACCAGTCCACTTCCTTTTCTGATTACATATAGCCTTGATAATTCTTTTTTCACTGCCTCTCTTCTCTGTCATACCTGCAGCTTGCTGACACCCACTTATACCTTTCCCTTTCTCTTTAGGTAGCTTCTCATTTGAATTCTGGGGTTCTAGGACTGGCAGCCTTATAACACCATGGATGAAATTTTGATGTTAAAGAGATAGCCTTTGGGAGCAGCTGGCAGTTTGGGATCATGAATATAGCAGCCCTGGGACACAGCTGCATTTTGACCCGGCACATCAAAGTGACACAAGAACTATTTACATAGCAAACACATTTCCTCAGAAAGGCCTCTATACTCTGTGGAAATTTGTACATAACCAAATCAAATCTAGCCATATCACATGGAATTTTGTTTGAAAACATTCATTCGAAACAACTTGTAAGAGTAACATATTTCGATTTCCATTTGACTTTAAAATCAGAAGACTTAGATTCAAATCTCACCTTAGATGTTCGGTACCTGTTGTGACTTTGAACAAGTCACTTAACTTATCTAGGCTTGCTTCCATATAAAATGAGAGTTGGATTAGATACCTCTAAGGTTTCTTCCAATCCTAGGTCCAGGATGCTATGAATTACCATTCAGTGAAACATCACTGGCCCAGTTTGACTGATAGGTCAAGAAAATGCTGTTAAATATTGAGACATGATATTTCAACCAGACATTTGACAAAGACTCTCACCTACTGTCTTTATCTAAAAGACGGGGAGATCTGGACAGAAATGGATTGGATGCCAAGATGGAAGGAGGTCCTCAGTAGAGTGCCCAGAGATGGTGATGAAGATGAGGATGACAACCCACACTCCTGTAATAATAATCATTTTATTATTACACAAAAATCCTATAAATTAGATGATCAGGGTGGTCAAGATAAGTTAGTAAATCAAAGATCTGTGATTTTGTTGATGTGAGACCTTCCTCCACCCAAGCACATTGTAATACCTTCTATAATTTTATGTATAAATCTCTGAGAATTGTCTGAGATTAGGAGCAGTCACCTGACTTGTCCATGTTAACAAAGCTAATTAACCTTATATGAAGAATTTGAAGTAATTTCTTCTTGATTACAAATGATGGCATAGTGGATAGAGTGCCACACCTGGAGTCAGGAAGACTCATCTTCCTGAGTTCAAATCCAGCCTCAGACACTTACTAGCTGTGTGACCCTGGGTAAGTCACTTAACCCTATTTGCTTCAGTTTCCTCATCTGTAAAATGAGCTGAAGGAGGAAATGGCAAACCACTCTAGTATCTTTGCCAAAAAAACCCCAACTGGGGTCATGAAGAATCAGACACAATGAAATTGTACTCTTTTTTTTTTTTAACAACTGGGTTTTCTTAGTTCAGCCAGGCCAAAAGCGCAGTTTGCTCATGGGCTTAATCCCACTCTTGATCTATACACTGTCACAGATCAGCATGAGACCATTGACTTGCTCCCCTTCCAACCTGGGAGTGACCAATCTGATACCCCTTTCCTTTCCAAAGAGGTTGTCATTTTAATGCCAAACAGTTCCGATGTAAGATTGGCATAGCTCACTGTAGCTCAGAATTCAAGAGATCCACCAGCTCAGTCTCCCTGGTAGCTGAGATTCTAGGCATGTGCCACCACACTCAGCTCTAATATCCTTTTGCCCCTAAATTAGTACCCCCTGTACAGATGAGGAAATAAAGGCACTGAGATGTTAAGTGACTTGTACACATAGTTATTGTCTGAGGCAGGATTTGAATCCAGATCTCTTTACTGAGTAAAACACTCTATTGACTACAAGATGCTGGTTCCATCCTTGGCTCTACTCTGTTAGAGGTTAGATGAAGGTGATATCTAATTTGCAGGTCTCATGAAACAGGAGAGACAACTGCCATAATGGGTGACAGGATTGGGGTCTACACCTTTTCTCAGCCAAATTTCTTGAAAAAGTTGCTGGCTTGTTCCCTCCATTTCATCTGGTTCCCCTCAACCCTTTGCAGTTTGGTTTTCAGTTTTACCATTCAACTGAACTCTCTTGAAAGTTACCAGTGATCTCTTAATTGCCAAATCTGATCATTTTTTTTTGAGGCAATGGGGGTTAAGTGACTTGCCAGGGTCACACAGTTAGGAAATGTCTGAAGTTATTTTGGAACTCAGGTGCCCCTGACTCCATGGCCTGTGCTCTAGCTGCCCCAGGCCCGATTCCCCTGATCCTTATTGATCTCTGTTGCACTTGACACTGTTGACCACCCTCTTCTCCTGCATACTCTTTCCTCTCTGGATTTTCATGATGTTACTCTCCTGGTTCATCCCCTTCCTGTTTGACATCTCAGCATCCTTTGCTAGCTCATCATCCATACCATGCCCCCTGACAATAGCTGGCACATAGTGGGTACTTAATAAATCCTTACTGAGTGATTGATAGATGCATCCTTGGACAGTGGGACAAAGTGATTAAGATGGGATTTTATCAGAGATAGATGTAAAGTCCTGCAATTAGTTTTAAAGAATCAACTGTAAAATTACAAAGTGGGAATTTAATAGACTGCTTACTCAATTTAAGTCATGATAGCCATGTAGCCAAAAAAAAAATGGAATTTTAGACTGCAGTAATGGAAGTGTTGTGTCTAGGAGAAGGAAGTAGATAATCCGATTGTACAAAGCCCTTGTCAGGCCACATCTGGTTGTGTTGTCGTTGTTGTTGTTGTTTGTTTTGTTTTGTTTTGCTAAATGCTCATCCCTGAGCTCTTTGTAGCTTTGAATTGTCAGTCACCCCCTTTTCCTCGATACTCTCTTTGAGGCTTTCATGACACTACTCTCTGCTGGTTCTCTGATCACTCCTTCTCAGTCTCCTTTGCTAAATCTTCATCCACCTCATGCCCTCTAAGAGGAGGGATCCCCTCAATGGTCTGTCGTCTGACCTCTTCTCTTCTCCCTTTATATTCTTTCACTTGGTGATTTTATCAGCTCCCATGGTTTTAATTATCATCTTTATGCAGATGACTCATATCTTCTAGTCTAGCCCTAACCTCTCTCTCCTCTTGACCTCTGACCTCACATCTCCGACTGCTTTTTAAACATTTCAAACTGGATATCCCATGGAGAACTTAAACTCATTATGTCCAAAATTGAACTCATTATCTTTTCCCCCAAACCCACCCCTCTTCTTAACTTCCCTATTACTGTCAAGGGCACCACCATCCTCCCAGTCCGTAACTCAGGTGCACAATTTAGGTGTTATCCTCATCTCCTCCCTCTCTCTCTCTCAGCACCCATATGAAATCATTACCAAGTCCTGTCAATTCTACCTTCGTAATGTCTCTTGTATACGGCCCCTTCTCTCCTCTGACATTGCCACCAACATGGTGCAGGTCTTCATCACCTCCCACCTGGACTATTGCAATAAACTGCTGCTTGGGCTCCCTGCCTCAAGTTTCTCCCCATTCCAACCCATCCTTCTCTCCCCTGTAAACTGATCTCTCCAAAGCACAGGTTTGACCATATTATCCTCCATTCAGTAAACTCCAGTGGCTCCTTACCATCTCAAGGATCAAATATAAAATCTGTTTGGCTTTTAAAACTCTTCATAACCTATCCCCTTTCTACCTTTTTACAGTTTTCTTACACCTCACTCTCTCCAGGTATCCTGTGATTCAGTGACACTGGACCCCTTACTGTTGCTTGAGCAAGACATTTTCACTGGCTGCCCCCTCCCCCATTGCTTGGAACACTCGCCTCCTCATTCTTGCTTTCTGCCTTTCCTGACTTCTTTCAAGTCTCAGCCGAAGTCCCACCTTCTGCAAGAAGCTTTACCCAGTCCTACTTAATTTTAGTGCCCCCCTGCCCAGATTACTGCCAATTTATCCTGAATATATCCTTTGTACATGGTTTGGTTGTTTCTCCGCATTAGACTAAGAGATCCTTGAGAATAGGGACAGTCCTTTGACTTTCTTTGTATCCCTAGTACTCAGTACCATGCCTGGCCCCTAGTAGACACTTAATAGTGTTTGCTGACTGACTATGAAAGATTTCTAGGAGGATATGGACCAGAGTTGCAAATAAGATAAAGAGGCAGGAGTTTTGTGAGCTCTTCGAGAGCAGGGACTGTTTTTTGCCTTTCTGTTTATTTCCAGTGCTTAGCATAGTGCCTGATGCATAGTAGATGCTTAATAAATGTTTACTGATTGATTGAGCAGGTTGTGATCTGCATTGTTGAACTGAGTGTCCACATGAATGAGATTATAGTGCCATCAAACTACCTGGCCTCCACATTTTAGGAAGAACAATGAAAACAGGAGTACAGGAAGATTGGCCAGGATGGCGAGGGCATTGGAAACCACACCATCTGAGGTTGGAGAAATAATGGATGTTTAGCTTAAAGAGGGAAGTTTTGCAACTCGTGATTGCTATCTTC